GTGTGTGTGTGTGGTGTGTGCGCGCGCAAGTGTGCAATCTGTTTACTCGTGTTTGTATTAAAGCCCGGTGATTGTTGTTATTAGACTACTGCAGTTTATGTGGTTAATCCTTAAGATCATCCCTCATGTATCATCCACCTCATCACTCTCCATGCTCTCGCCCGTAAATCCCCTCATCTCTCGCTTCTCCATGTGATGTCCAAGCAACCTCTATGGCTGCTTAATCTACACTTTATCTTTCTTAAGCCTTCACTTGCACGCTCTTAATTGCTTCAGTATATAGAGATTATTTTTTTTCCGGCTGTCTTGTTGTATCTCTTTTCGGATTATTGCTAGTAAGCCTGGAAGCCAATTAGCCTGTTTTCATTTTAGCCGTATGAATGAATATCAGCTTTGAGCTGTGTCCTCTAATGATAATGTCTGAGGAATAATAACAAATGCTGTAGTGGTTAACCAGTGTGTGACAGTTTCCTGTTGGGAATGTAAAAGAAGTCAGTGGAAAGACCCTACCTTGGGGGAAACTCGGAAAGTGTGAACTGCCCTCTGACCAGGAAAAAAAAAGGCAAGAGGAAGAAAACAATGCAAATGGGCAGTTTGGAGGGCTCCCACAACACTGAGGCTGCTAAACTGTCAACAACATAGTGTGAGAATGATCGATCAAAGGCTTCTGAAAGGAAGAGCCTGGAGAGCAGATGATCTGCCGATGTGTGAACAGAGAACAATACCCCCTTTCAGACATGGAATATTGGAACTTTGCTGGCTTTATCTATCTGTGGAAAGGGGTGTTTTTGGGCCCTTTCTGCACATGTGAGTGATCCATCCAGTTATGTCTTTATTCAAATATTTAGTCATATTTTGTCATTTGGAGAAGGGAGTGGTAGTAATGGCAACGTGCTGAAAAACACCAATAGTATTAAAGACCGTAGTGAGCATGAAAGGATGCTTGAACCTGCCTGCCTCTCAACCGGCTTCTCGCACTAATACATGTTTTTTTTTTTTTCTTTTTTAGCAATTTCTTGGTGAAAATATTTAGGATGGTTAAATCGATAGTTCATAAATGGCAAGACTCTTAATTTAGTCCCATTTTCTCCCCACATTGGTTTAAAGCAGTCAACCATGATTTAAAGTTAACGATTAAGGAGACTGACACACCCATGATGTTTTTTTTCCCTGTTTCCCTCAGAAACCACATGAGGGGGGAAAGGAATGAAAACAACTTTTTATAATAACTGATTTGACACAAAATGAATGTCCTTAAAACAAACTTTGGTGTTTTTTCAGAATTATTTTAGTTTTTTCTGTGCATAAAGAATGATAATTTAAGTGACAAATTTAAAGAAGAAAATAAGATAATGCGTTTGCCCACTCCATGCTTAGTTAAACCTTACATCCAAAACCCATTATAGCCAGCATTTTAGTATTAATATTGATTTTATAAGTCTGTTAATTGGCAGTAATTATTCTTGTTACTGGTGGATCCACCTTTCCCGTGCAAGATATATTGCTTTACCATCCACAAGGGATCCAAAGGCAACAATGCATGCGTCTGTTAGATGTTGTGTTTAGTTTCAAATACTAGTGTATAACATTTGTATTGCCCTGTAAGAAAGACCATGTCTTCTTTAAGCGTGTAAAATAATGCGACCATGATGACCTTTTCTCACCCAGGGTTTGTTTGTCTTCACTTGTAAGAGATCAGATCAGAATCAGAATCAGAATCAGAAATACTTTAATAATCCCAAGAAGGGAAATTATATTCGTTACACACTCCGATATACAAATGACAAATATTATACAAACAACATATATATATATATATATACAACATTCAACACAAAAAATAATAAATATATAAACATATGTAACTATATATATATATACAACGAGATGCATAAGTCCCGTTGCATTTCTGATAGAGTAGATGCTCAAGGCATGTTTTCCTGTCTCAAGTGGTCTTTGTACATTCATTTAATGTGTCCTGAGGAAATATCTTGCTTTTTAGCTGCTAAATGTTTACCAGCTAAATTGCTAACTTTTGTCTTTCTGTGGTTTGATGCCGGGCAAGTGTAAGTGGAACAGTGGCATTGATAGGAAAACCAAAAACCGAAAAACAATTAGCTTAAAGATGCCTAAAACCCACGTAAAGCTGAGGGAAATTTGTAAGTAGGGTGATAATTATCCTGTGGGTTTGTCAATATGACGTCAACTTTTGATATTTCCCTTTGGCTGTGTTGGAGTGTGCGGAGTCGAGTGCATCGTGTTTTATCTGATGCATCCCCCTTTATTATGAACAATGTGCATGTCCCTGAAGAGGGGCTAGAGGAAAGGAAAAGAGGGACGAATCTTTTCTTCCATTCTCCCTCCCCCACACAGATTCACACTTACATGGAGAGAGGAGGAGGAGAGGGAGGGGGGGGGGAGCTGGCGCATAGGGAGGCAAGAGGAGGGGAGGAGAGGGGAGAGGAGAGAGAGGATTTTGACGGGTTGTGGAACAAACAAGAGAAGAGGAACAGGGAGAGGGGGGAGGGAGGGAGGCATCAGCTCTTGAAAGAGAGGAGAGGAAGACTGAGAAACAGCAGAAGAGATGAGCAGGCCCAAGGACACAGCACCAAAAACAGAAGGGCTGGGGGTAGAGGAAAAGCCAAGGAGCCGAGTGGGGAGAGGGAAAGAAACAGAGTGAGCTGGGAGACACCGCAGGAGACCAGAAACGAGAGAAGAGAAAGAGAGGGGCCAAGAAAGCAATGCCGAGGGGGGAGGTTAGAACGGAGACGAGAGGGCCAGCAAGAGGAAGAGGGGGGGGGAGGAGAGAGGAGGAGAGTGGAAAGGGAGGGGAAGCATTCGCCGGGCACGAGAAGAAGCAAGAGGGGGGAGGGAGAGAGAGGGATTTTTGTCTGGGACAGCAACTGGGGCTGGGAGGTGAACAGGCTCTGAAGAAAGAAGGGGGACGGAGACACAGTAGGAGGGGAGGGACAAGAGAAGGAGAGGAGAAACAGATAATATGTTGTTGCACAGAATACGATGATGGGCACTGTACTCATCGCTTTCCGTGTGTCGATGAGTGTTTATCTCGATCTTTTCATATCCCCCCAAAAAACACTCTTGGTGTTACAACGTTGCTGTACTAACACACACACAATACACAATACACAATATAGCTGGTTCCTTTTACTTGTGTGTGTAGTACATGAAAACTACAATATCTGCATGTTTAGCAGAAACAATAAGCTAAAACATGATTATTCTCAACTATCCGCAATATCATTAGAGAGAAAAGTAGTGGGAGGGTAAGACAGGAGGAGTAAAGAGTATGGAGGCATGTCTTCTTCTTCACGACTGATAAATTATAATCTACACCCCCACCTTGTGGTTTAGAGAGCTCCAGTGAGCCATATTAATGCTATATGAATACTGTATTCAGATGGGATAGAAATATTAGAAGACAGGATGGTGCAATATCATAAAACATGGATTTTTGCAGGTTTGAGATTAAATCACACCCTTACCTGACTATGAGACGGGTAGCCATGGTAACCAAGGGTCAAAGGGTCGTTGTTCTGAAAGAGAGGAGAGCAGATTTTGAGATACACGGTCAGTTATTTGCAAAGCAAAAACGAGACACTGGAATGCAGTTCATTTATTCAGTCAGTCTTTATTCTTGCGATCTCTCTATATTTGACTTTACAGCTCTGTGTGGTGTTATTGACTCCTAATCAAATTAACTCCACCGGTGACACACTCCTGCGATCTCCTCCAGAGTTTTCCACCCAGCGATTCTTTTGTCTGCTTGTAAAGACGTGATAACGGGGGCGAGTGAGATCATGCGAGCAGGAGATGAAAGACGGGCAGAAAGACTGAGTGTCACCAAGGCTCTTAAATCATAAATAGGTCAGGAGTGTCAGCGAGCATGAAGCCCATTTAGTGTGAAAAGGCATCATGAGCCCTGATGCAATCTCTAACACATCCCTCTCAATGCTCTGGCAGCATGAAGCAAAGACGGATGCATCAAACATCTGGTGAGTAATTAGAGTTAAACAAGGCGCATTAAAAAGAAAACTCATTTTGTTTGGAGCCAAATATTAAACAGAAATCACGTCCCGACTCCCTAAAATAGTTTGTAACTCACTTTATTTGTACTCATAACACTGTGTTCCAGCTTTTATGCTAATGTATTCCATTAAAATGGGAGACTTTCACAGCAATTACAACACGCTTTGAAGGGGGAAAACAGATTTGCCTGTCTCTGGCTTCATATCACTAGATTAGAAAACAACTCAGCTCCTCCCTCCCCTTTCTGTCCTCCCCCCCGATCTTCCTTTCATCTGGAACCAATGTCCCTCATCTGCTCTGTCCCCAAGGGGAACACTTTGCTCTGCGCGCTTCACAGCTTGAGTTCGCCTGATTAATACTGTAGCCATCTAACTCTGGACCTCATGGGGGCATTTCACTAAAAACTAAGCCCAATGTTTCCAAATGCAAGAAGCTTGGCGTGGGAGGGGGAGTAAGGGGGGAGAGAGGAAGTGTCTTCGCGATCGAAAAACTGCAGTTTGTGTGAGTCTATCTCAGAGCCAAAAATGTACTTAGTAAACTGGCTTTGGGAGGTAGAAGCTCTAAATAATGAATCACCTCTTAGAGGCTTGAATAACATGAATAAAGTATAAACCTTATTTTACAGCGAGGCCAAACTCTAAACTCAACGCACTGAAGGTATGGAGTAAAAGAGGATCAAAACTAAAACCCCCCAAAAAAAGATTTATGGGGCCGTATGCTGTGTCAAAGTGAAGGGGGAGGTGTTGTTAAAACACACACATCTGGAATTTATATTTGCGTGAGGCTGAGGGAGGAACCAGAGATGGAAATACAACGGGAAATGGACAGCAATGAAAAAGCAGAGAGATGGAGGGAGCAAAGACAATGACTCATACATGAGCGGAGTCATGTGCTTAATTTCCTTAAGGAACTGGGAGGAATGAGAGAGGGAGGGCTGCTCAAGGCGAGTCTCTCCCTCAACAGCACAGTACACGAGAAACAAAAAGATTTTGTACTTAACGGAGCGATAGTTAATCACGCTTCCACCTCTTTTTTTTCGTTGGTGACAAACGAAGCACAGCTGATTCTTGTCTGGGGGCGGTGATGGTGGTGGTTTTGTTGTTGTTGGTGGCTAAAACAAGACTGCTAGGCGGAAGACCGGGTAGCAATAGGAGAAAGTAACAAAACTGATTTGAAGTCACACAGATGGCGAAGAGCGCCGGAGGGGTGAGGGAGAGACCAAGGCTCGGGGATGGAGGCGGGGGAAGGAGGCCCTGCTAATAATTAAATCTGAAAACAAGCAAAGGATCCCGACGCACAGCACAGTTACCTCCCAAGTTTCTCCTTCGACGCCACCTTTTCGCAACAGCCAAGTAATCCCTTTTACACATGAACCCTGCTGACTCCTCCCTCCAAAAACTACAGGTGTGGTACGTGTGTGTGTGTGTGTGTATGATTGTGTTAGTGACGTGTGTGTGATGTCTAATTTGCGTCACAAGACTTGTGTCTATTCCTCATCGACTTGGGACCTGCTGCTCTTCCTAAGGAGGAGTAGAGGAGGAAACTACTTTCACTGCTCTGAGAGCATCTACCTAACTGCAAAGCAGGGCACTGCTACACTCAGGAGATGTGAATCCATTTTATCCACAGATCACTTATGGCTAAGCTCAAACAGCGGCCAGATGAATTTGAAGTTTTTTTTCCTCAATGTATTCACAGCCCTCCCAGTTTCACACTAACCTACACTGCTTTTTCAGGGGGTTTGACGTGCAGTTCAAAATGGATGTTCTTGGAAGCGCCTCGGGCAGTTCTGGCATAATGATAATAGCTCACAATCATAATAATATCATATAGCAGTATTATCAGATGGCAAAATCACAATGCCACATAATCACACTCTGTCCACCAGCACTGATCTCGGCACCTCTCAAGATACAAACTGTCATTTTTTATTCCCAATTATTTCACATCTGATTGGGAGAATTTGCCATGTACATCCTTATTTACTGCCACACAAGAATTGCCCATCGTGGAATTACTGCAACTCATGTATTTCCAACCATCATTCTGGTGAAACGTGGAGCTTGATACTGGACTCTTGGGAGCAGCATGGTGATGAGAAATTTTGGCTGATTTTTGCATTTTTGCTAGGGATTAATTCAATTATTGAAATGAGATACAGGACGCGCTGAAAACACCACCTGGTCAAAACTAATGTAATAATGACCAATGGATTTAATACATATTTAAGCATTTTTAATGCTGAAGATATGTCTGTTGCTGCTGCTGATATTTCATTATCATCACGAGTATTTTCTGTTTAAGCAATTAATAATTGAGTCCAGAAAAAAATAAAAATAACCAAAGTTCGATTTAAATTTACTTTTTGTCCGACAATCTTCACACTGCAGAGGCTGGTTTTTGCATTTGTGCTTTAGAAAAAGTATTTAAAAAAAAACAATTCAATCATTAGAGAGATTCATGTTTTCTATTTTTATACTTCAGTTCTAATAAATATCTCGCTTATTCATATATACCACAGTATAGTGATATATCAGCCCAAATACATATTATTCTAACTGTGGATAAAAGATCAAAATGAATACTGTAGGAGTCACAAATCACTTGCCATTGATATGTGAGGATACTACACTTTAACACATTCAAATCTGCCCAGGGCAAGCTCAAAACGGCAGGCTTCTCATCTGCTGGTTCTCTCAACATAATTCAGTCACAGACCTTCTGCGGCATGTTATCACACAAACAGGGGCAAAAAGCGTAAATACAATATTTCCCCTCCAAAAACCCCTTTGCAGCAAGAGTACGATTTTTCTTGCTGACGTTTTTCATTCTATTTCAGTGCCGGCTTTGAGATGAAAGTACAGAGGGGGTAATCCCTACCATTAATGTCCAGCTCAAGTAAGTTCCTCTCGGCGCTGTCCCCCAGGCCAAGACCTTATGTAGGTTAGAGAGAGCCCCGGTTCCTGCGCAGAGTGACAAGCAAAACATGGGCCGTCGGCGGCCACGGCCGTATGGATTTGAACGCGACAACCTCCTCCTCAACAATTCCCAAACTCTGTGCTGCGAGACGCGCGGTGGTGTTATGATCCCTGTCATCCTGAAATGAGGACTCGCCCAGCGCAGCACTGGAAGGCAAAAAGGCTAAAAATGTGTTGTTCTCCCCCCGCACCCGCCTTATTGGAGGGTGCTAAGGCAACTTAATATTCATTCTAAAATCCATAGTATTGAATGAGCAGAGTGCTCAGCACCCGAGGGGTCGCACC